AAATGTTCAAACTAAAGAGTCACACATCTCTCACTGTAAATCAAAAGTTAGCAATGATTAAGCCTATGAGAAGGCATGCTGAATGCCAAGATAGACTGAATCTAGGGCTCTTGAGCCAGTTAGCCAAGTTGTGAATACAAAGGAAAAGTTCTTGAAGGAAATTAAAAGTACTACTCCAGTGACCACAGCAATGATAAGAAAGCAAAACAGTCTTATTACTGATATGGAGAAGTGCTAGAGGTGTGGAAAGAAGGTCAAGCCAGCCACAACGTTCCCTCAAGCCAGAGCCTAATCTAGAGCAAGGCCCTAAATCTAATTATATGAAGGTTAAGAAAGGTAAGGAAGCTGTAGAAGGAAAGTATGAACACAGCTGAGGTTGGTTCATGAGATTCAAGGAAAGCTGTCTCCAAAACACGGAAGTGCAAAAAGAAGCACCAAGTGCTGATGTAGAAGTTGTTGCAAGTTATCCAGGTGATCCAAGATTGCTCAAGTTGGCTACACCAAACAGCAGATTTTCTACCTAGACAAAACTGCACTCCATTGGAAGATGCCATCAATCTAATACTTTTATAACTAGAGAGAAGTCATTGGCTGGCTTCAAACCTTCAAAGTACAGGCTGACGCCTTTTGCTGGGAGCTAATATAGTCAGTGACTTTGAGGTGAAGACAGTACTCATTCACCATTTTGAAAATCCTAGGGTCCTCCAGTTAATTATGCTTGCCTAATGTGCACATTGTGAGGGCATACAACACGTTTCTTGGGTGAAGGGTTCTTCTACAAATGGAACTTTTCCCTGGAAGTGAGAACAATGTAAACTAAATATTGTACCCTCATATTAATTGGAATAAAGTTAAAAATAAAAAAGTACTCTGCCTTTGCTTTAGAAATGGAGAAACAAAGCCTAGATGATAAGCACCTCTGTTTATAGCATGGTTTACTGAATATTTTAAGCAAACTTTTGATACCTACTGCTCAGGAAAAAAAATCCTTTTCAAAATATTACAATGTACCTAGTTAATCCAATAGCTCTAGTGGAGATGTACAAAAAGATTAATATTGTTTCTGTGCCCCCTAACACAGCATACATTCTGTGTGTAGTCTAGTCCATGGATCAAAGAATTCTTTCAATCTTATTTAAGAAATGCATCTTGCAGCTTGGCATCCATAGTTCAGTGGTTAGGGCACCGGCCACATACACTGTGGCTGGCAGATTTGAAGCCTGCCGGGCCTGCTAAACAACGACAACTACAATAAAAAAATAGCCGGGCGTTGTGGTGGGCACCTGTAGTCCCAGCTACTTGGGAGGCTGAGGCAAAATAATCGTTTCTTAAGCCCAAGAGATTGAGGCTGCTGTGAGGTGTGACCCCAAG